GGCATTGCACGACATGGGTGCACTTACCTACATGCAGGCAATACACGGATACACATAAAATAATAAATAATTTTTAAAAAATTAAAAAAATACTTTTTTTTCTTCAGTTTTATATAATCATGAGATGTTCTGTAGACAAACATCAATTTTAAGAGCAACAATAAAGTTTTTAGATAGGATCTCATGTAGCCTAGGCTAGCCTTATATTCTCAACTTTTTTTTTTTTTTTTTGGTATTTTTTTGAGACAGGATCTCCTTGTAGTCCCAGCTGGCCTGGAACACACTATGTAGACCAGGCTGGCCTTGAACTCACAGATCCTCCTGCCTCTGCCTCCCAAGTGCTGGGATTAAAGGTTGTGTGTCACGACACTCGGCTGCCTTATATTCTCTATGTAGCTGGAAATCAACTTCTGATCCACCTGCTTCCATCTCTCCAGTACTGGGATTACAGGCCTGGGCCACCATGCCTGGTTTTAAATGTCATCATCTGAAAAAGGGGTCCATGTCACAACCAACAAACAGGGCTCATCACCCAGTAAGCATTCCATAAGTGGTTGCTTTAGAAAACACTTCTTCCAAAGGCGAAGTGCTATCTCAGAGCAAGGCAGTGGAGCGAACTGCCAGAGAAGGGGTTGCGCCCCACGGCAGATTTTTGGGAGATACCAAGTTTCAGTGGCAGGGAAGGGTTTTGGAAGAGAAGGTGTGGTGGGAAGTGGGGAAAGTTCAGAGGTCCTATGGGGGCTTCAGCGAAATGTGAAGATGCAGGAGGCCTGAGGGATTCCCTGCAGTTAGAGCCAGGATGCTTGGGGTGATGGGGGCAGCCTGGGGAGCCCTCCACACTCTGCTGCCTACAGAGCTGGCAGCTCTTTCTGGACCCAGAACCAGAACTCTGCAGCAGCTTCCAGCTCACTGGGCTGCCAGCTCCACTGTGACCATTCCAGTTCCCATCTGCCTTTCTACAGTTTTTCCTCGGATTCTTATAGAAGTGCTTCTGCCTGCAATCATTTGCAAAAACAACACATCTAACTCCAAGCCTCAAGTCTTCAGATTTCATTTAAATGACCAGAGACCCAGGCAAACATGAAAAAAAAAAAATCACAGATTAAGTCTCCGGGGGATGTGGCTCTGCTGCTTCCTATTTACCAGGTCTTGGGTTCCTTTGATCCCCAGCACCGCCTTACTATAGGTATTGGTGACTCAAATCTGTAATCCCAGCACCCAGGTGGCAGAAGTGGGAGGATCAGAATTCAAGGTCATCCCTGATGATTTATCAAATTCAAGGCTGGCCTGGGCTACATGAGACCCTATTTCAAACCAACCAACCAACCAACCAACCAACCAACCAGCCAACAAGAATGGTGGAGAACGTCTTTAGTCACAGTACTTGGGAGGCAGAGGCAGGTGAATCTCTGAGATCTAGGCAAACTTGGTCTACATACAAGTTCCAGGCCAGCTGGGGAAATATACCATAGGGTTGAAAACCAGTGGTGTACCCCTTGTGTATAAATAGGTATTTTAAAAAAAACTATTTTCCAAGTCTGGCTGGCCCACCCAGGGCCTTTACATTATTTTCAGAGGTGTGTTCATTCTTGATTTGCATCTCCAAATTTCCTTGGCTGATGAATTTAAAAATTCTGCGAATGGAGAGCTGACTTCAAGCCACAATGTCTCCTCATATCGTTCATTCTCCTCAGTATAACTTTAGACCGACAACGGGTTTTTGAAGGATCTGAACATAGAACCATCATGTTTTCTAACCGAATTTTATGGGTAGAGGGTGGATGCCTTGGCATCATTCGAGGGATCTTTAATAATAATAAACATCCTCAGCAAGTAAACCAGCAATGCAAGTTCTGAGGGACTTGCAGTGGGGAAAGTCAGCACCCGTGCTGGGGGCCAGGTCTATTTCTATGGTCCAACTCCACAGCTGCTGCCTTGCCCCAAGCTAGCAGCCCTCTGGGTTGCAAGGAGGGCAAGGCAGTGTTGTCACCACATCCAGAGACAAATACCATTTCTTGCAAAGTCTCCATAGGAACTTTGCCCAGAAATACCCTAAGCAGTTACCAAGTTTCTGATAGAGTGAGGTCCCTTCCCCACTGCCTAGTCCATTACACCAAAGGGAAGTGGCTTTGCCCCTGGGCTAGGATAAGGTCAAGCTCCTCCAGCTGTGTAGGAACGGTTGAGTCCCCTCCCCTCCAGAGAAATCAGCCAGGAGGAAGTGGTGACTGCGGAAGCAGTGTTTCTGCCTTAACTAGGTTCCTCATGAAACCTGACGGTGTGAGTTTGTTACTCTGCAGGCGTCTCACATTTCCGTGAGAATCATTCTTTCCTTCTGGGTCTATAGGAATCTAAGAACTCTGGTTTTGTAACCCTGATTGGATGGATTGGATGGCATTATCAGCAGGTCAAGAGGTGGGAAGATGGCTCAGTGGGTGAAGGTGTTTGCCACCAAGCCTGAAGACCTGTTTGATGCCCAGGACCAGAGAACTGATTCCCTCAAATTGTCCACACACACACACACACACACACACACACACACACACACACACAACCAGAGAACTGATTCCCTCAAGCTGTCCACACACATACACACACACACACACCAAAGAACTGATTCCCTCAAGTTGTCCACACACACACACACACAACCAGAGAACTGATTCCCTCAAGTTGTCCACACACACACACACACACACACACACACCAGAGAATGGATTCCCTCAAGTTGTGCCCTCCCCTGCCAGAAATAAAAAAAAAAATTTTTTTAAGGTATCCAGAGTCCTTGGCCACTATGGCACAAGCAAAAGGGAGTGTGCCACTCCCCTCAGTCCCCAAACTCCCATCTTACTGACAGATATTTTCTCATCTTGAATTTTCCCCCAGGGCCTTGGACATGCCAAGAAAATGCCCTATCACTTACACCCCAGCACTGAGCCCATTTTTATTTATTTTTAAATTATTTAATTATTTTTATTTATTTTATTATTTTTTAACAATGTAGATATAAAATACAGCAGAATTGAGGCTGGAGCCAAGTTGAATTTTACTGAAGTGTCATAAAATAAATTGAACAAAGGAGAAAAAGAGAAAATAGAGATAAATAGGAAAATACTCCAAATTTATGGATGGAAATCATTTAAGAGCATTATTCTACAACAGATGAAGAAACTTTTAATTTCTTTTCATATTAACACGGCTCACCACAAATCCACTAACAAAATGACTGCAGGGTTGATCAAGATGACTTCAGGAAACCCAGGATAACTTTGTCGTGAGAAAACCTCAGTGTGAATGAGGACAGAGAAGCAAACAGTTCCAACCAGGAAGGCATGCTGAGGTTTAACCAAGATCTGCCTTACTCAGAGCACCTAAAGTCTAGGACACTTTAGGTCAAAGAGATGACTGAGCTAGCCAGGCCAGGTAGGGCCCAGCCCATGACTCAGGCTTTATTCACACCACTGGGTCCCTGCATCAATCACCCTTAGGGAAGCCAGCTACTATTTTTGGCAGAGGGATCTTCAAATGCAAGCCTTGGATGTGATCAATCATATTTTACCCATCCGTAGTCCAAGGAACTGTTTCTAAAGGGACAGTTGGGGACTTTCATGAATACAGTATTAAGAAATCTAAACTTTTGTTTTCATTATATAATTTACTGCTCTTAATTCTTTCTTCATTTTGTACAACTATAGCATTAGGTATTGAGTGAGAGAATTCCTTCTTTGCTAATGAGCCAGTTTATTCCCATGGAGGAAACTCCAAATTGAAGTCTTAATAAAGGGAGATATGTAATGTGGGAACACACATTAAAATGTATTGGAAATCAAGATAGTACGCAATCATAATTAACCGATAGTCTTTAACTTTGGAAAAACAGAAGAGTAATTAGAATAAAATAAGTATTAAAAAAAATAGGCAGTAGTTTGATTTACAAAAGAATAGAGCCATAATGCCTAACTGCCCAATTCAGTAACTCTAGAATCTTCTTTAGTCAGCACTAAGAATTCACATTTGAGCTAGCCAGCAGAACATATAAATATTTAACAGACTACATAATTCTACTCACTGCTGTGATTGTACACAAATTAATCAGGTTAAATATTAAAGATATACTGGGAGTACTCCCAAATTATCAATAGAATATTAATCAAATGAATTTTAAAAGATTCAGAAATAGAAGTAGAAAATTAATTTTAACATAGATGAGACAATGCTTAAACAATTATTGACCTAATCAAGACCTTTAAAATTACCACCAAAATGCACTACAATTTTTTTTATTTAGTTTACAGAAAGACTTAAGTACAGGTTGCAGAAAGGAAAGGTTTAGTGCTATTTACATTCATTTTAAAACTCTGCTCTATACAAATTTAATTCTGATCAGTATGAACAATATTTTCGTAGATCTACTGCATATAAAGCCTTTTCATCAAAGCATTAACAACGAATAAAATAACCTGATTGCATTTAAACAAAGCTGACCATCAGAAACCATTTACACTTAATGTCTGTGAGAGCCAAGAACACTCATTAAATACAGGATGTAATGTCAGCCTGCAACTTCATTTTTAAAAAGGCTAAAGTTATTGATATGGAATATTGATCTATATACTACACGCCAATCTATATTTAAGTTCTATAATTAGATATTTTATAAGACTTTTATTAAATATAGTCTACACATATTTGTAATTTCATCCAGGAAGAATTTCTTCCTAGTGAAAAAAATATAAAATCTTTCATATTTTTTTTTACAGGTTTAGATGAAACTAGCTCATGCTTTAGTGCTGTGCAAATTGTTTGTAGCATATCAATTTTTAAATTATTGGTAAAAATAAGAGTGGCATTACTAGTCATGTATGCCTTAAAAATCAGCTTTTGATTTTAATACAATTGCAAGCACTGATTCCAAATGCAAACTACTATAAAGTAACAAAATTAGAATATGGAGGTTTCTAGTTTGTAAGGATTCATCTGAACTTTAATGAGTAACATGATGTGGGCACAGTTACGGGTAAGCAACGATAGTGGAAAATGTCAATTTTCTGATATTCAAATACATAAAAGGGATCAGCGCTGAGGTTTCTACCGTTTCTGCACAGTAATGACAGCCTCTGAGACTGGCCCCTTGGGTTAAGGCTGGGGACACACTGCCGCCCCCTGTGCTGTCTCAAGGAGCACTCAGCAAGGAGGACTCAGTGCAGGGCATTCAAGGAAGCCTCTGCGGAGTGCTTTAACAACAGGCACATGTTTTCATTTGCTGCAGTGAATATCGTCACTCTGTTTAGTATTCTGTGCAGGGCAGCCACCATGACTGACTTGACTTTGGTAGAATTCACCCAACATTTCAGTTTCTTTTCCATTTTTCCCTGTCAGGTTGGCCCCATAATTAACTTCATTGATTGCTGAGTGTCTTCCAGTATGGAACTGTGTATAGGAGTACCACACACTCTTATGTTCTGCTGATGAGGAAAACAATGACAATCTTTTTTTTTTTTTTTAAGTGCAAATTGTATTTGGAACACTTAATTTATTACTTCTGGTGATGAAAATTTTTGTGGCAGCAAACAGTTTCTGCTGTGAAAGATAACTTGTTAACTTTTCCCCTGGAGATCAACTGCATGTTTTAGAATGCTCAACATAAACAAGAAATACAAGAGATAAAAACTCATAGTGAAAAATGTTCTTGGTTCTTTTCACTTCGTGAGAAAAGATGACCGAGTTTGTGAGTGATTAATCCCACAGATGTGCAGGCCGACTTTCCTAAAGGTGTCAGCAGCTGTGTTGAGTCTCCTCTGTCCCAACAATGTGAACAGACTGCCATGGGTGCTGGCTGCAGCATCACAGGATCACACAGCAGTTACTCTCACCAGTCTTCTCCCGATTCCTCTGACCTGGGCGCAAAGAGAGGGGCCTGGTTTAGATGACGGCTGGTCTCAGGGGAGGGAGGGCAAAGGGCCAAGGTTTCATCAGAGACAGCTTGGGTTTTCTTAATGGTTGCTTTTAAAAGAAATTACAAGCCTGTAATAAGGGATCTTTTAATTTTAGCATGTTTCAAAAATGTCTGGTTACTTCCTTGACAAGCTCGATTCCCAAACTACGAACATTTCTTTTTCTTTAAAGTGTCCAGGAGGAACCAGCCATGTCTGAATGCCTGTTTTTATGACTCAAATGCGACACTTCTCCAGGGAGCGCTTACCTTGAGAGTTGGGCTCTGGCAAGGTCTCTCTGGCCACTAAATGCATCACTGTTGTTTTGCCAAAAGGAAGTTTTAACGCTATGAGAAAAGCAGAAAAAAATCTGTTATATACACATCTGTTAAAATCGCTAGCCAGAACTGAAATCATTTCAAAAGCTGATTTCTTTTCTAATGTTCTTTCGCAGGCTGCATCTTGTCTACCAAGGAGACAAGGTTCACATACTCAGAGGAGAGGTTCACAGTTTAAAAGCCATTTCTTACAGTTATGGCCACTGTCATGACACATAAAGCTATATTATTTAAGAAAAGAAAATACATAATCTGTTAATATCAGTAACCGCCTTTAGAGGAGGCAAGAGAAAGTATTTTCTAGAAGTTTTGTTTTAAGCAGAATTTTTTTTTTTAGTTTAGAGAAAAGTTTAGAAGAGATGTTTCAAAAATTTAACTGCATGTCAGCTGACTTATAAAATTACTGCACTTAATTTATGACCTTCCTCTCACTCACTTTTCAAATGCTGCTCTATGTGATTTGAGCTAACACATAGATTTGAAGATTTCTAATTATTGTCAATATTACTACTAGTTCACAGAATCAAGGGCTTTTCTAAGCTCCTGTGGGGCTCACTACTAGAAGATGCAGATTTTCTTGTTTCTCCATTTAAATTTTTAAAAAATATTTTATTTACTATCTTTATGTGCATGAGTATACTGCCTACATGCATGTAAGTGTACCCACGTCATTCAATGCCTGTGGAGATCAAAAGAGGGCGCTGGATCCCCTGGAACTGGAACTACAGACAGTTGCCAGCTGCCATGTGGGTGCTGGAAATTAAACCCAGGTCTTCTGCAAAAGTAGCCAGTGCTCTTAACTGCTGAGTCATCTCTCCAGACCCTCTCCATTTAAATTTAACTAGATGCAGCAGGTATGATGCTGGCACTGTCACTAGTAAGGGAAGAAGCCTGGTCTCCGCTGCTTTTTCGGCACTGAAGAGATTTGTTTTCTAAGACCCTGAACAACATCCAGAAAGTAAGGTTTTCAACTTTCCCCATAAAAATCACCGGGGTTTAACTCAGTAGAAAAATTGGTGGGAAAGAGGGAACATGTAGAAATTTGCATTTTAAAATGAGTATTGGATGCTGGAGGTGTAGCTCAGAGGTAAAGTGCTTGCCTAGCATGCCTAAGACCCTGGATTCTATTCTTAACATCACACAAAAAGTAAACAAGTAGAAATTAAAATTAAAATGAGCATCCTAGGTGATGGTCATGCACAGTTTCTCTGAACCATACCTGGAAATAATGAGCTGATCCTACTGATGGCTAAAGCTGATCATCCTCCCTTCTCTAACAGTAGGACTGTTGTCAGGCCTCTCCTTTAGTGGACTGAAACTGCATGTGACTACAAGATTACACCTCAAAAAAGGGGACTCAGGAATGTTTAAAGAGACCCAATAATCAAAAACTTACTGAAACTTACTGAACCACAGATTTCAAGAATGACAGAGAAACTAGGTGGAGCATGTTGCTCCTGTAGTCCCTGCTACTCAGAGGCTAAGGCAGGAGGATTGCTGGAGCCCAAGGTTTCCTGGCCAGCCTGGGCAAATGATAGGGGCCCCTCCTGCATGTGTCCCACAGTGACCCAAAGGCCATCAGCCTTGTCTGTATGCCCACCATTTCCCAGTCACTCACTCACTGTTTGAACATCGCCTGTAATAAGGACTCCATTTATTCCCATGGTGGGCCATTCTTTTAGGTAAAATATGTTCAAATATTTTCTCTGGGCTGCTAAAATGGCTCAGCCTGAGAACCTGAATTTAATCCTGGGAACTCACATAAAGGTGAACAGAAAGAACTGACTCCACAAGGTTGTCCTCTGTATTTGTCACGTTACCCCACCCATAACAAAAAATTTAAATATTTTGTAATTGTCAATTTAAAAAATATTAAATAAGGGGCTGGAGAGATGGCTCAGCAGTTAAGAACACTGACTGCTCTTGCAGAAGACCCAGGTACAAATCTCAGCACCCACATGGCAGCTAACAACTGTCTGTAACTCCAGTCCAGGGAATCTGACAGTCTCTTCTGTTCTTCACAAACACTGCATGACACGGGTACACTTACCTACATGCAGGCAATACACACATACACATAAAATAAAAATAATAAAATATTTTTAAAAAAAATTAAATAAAACCAAACCAAACTGTCTGCCTTTGATTTGTAGCTGTAGGCCCTAAGCCTACTCACAGAGCTACAGGACAAGGGCTGGCCAAACACAGGACGCAAGCTGAAGCCTTCTACACCAGTCATGCAAATGCTTGAAGACAGCTGCCATCACTGTGAGCTACCTCTTTAGCAGGGGCATTAAAAACACAAGGAAATAAAAGAAAAACGGCAACTAGAAAGGCAAACAGTGGAGTGCAAGCATCTAGCTTAACCAAAACCCAGTGACTGATCAACCAAGGTCTCCTGTTTTCCATACCACCTAACTGGATCACAAAGGCCAGAGGTAGTGTAATCCGCTTCCAGAAGACTGACAGCTACACATAATGGTAACAATGAGATGAGTCATTCTGCTAATTATTCCAAAATGAATTTTTAAAAATGGTTTAGAAATCTATATTTTAATGAGAATGAGTCAACCACCTTGGTTTGAATACATTCTATGACCTTAACACTCAACACTGGAGCCACAATGCAAAGACAATTAAGGAGCTTGTGGAAAACTGCTCAATAGATCAATATTAAGAGGGAGATGGAGACTTGTTCATTCAGAGTCAAGAAACTCAGCTCAATTAACACTTATTTAGTTTGTTTTTTTCATTTATCAATTTTTAATTCAAGATCTTATTTGAGCCATAAAGATGTTTTAAAAAAATATATCGAAGCCACTGTTTAGATGTTCTTGCTTCTTGCTGTTTTGTGTTTTTATAGTAGATGGAATTCCACTGAAATGGGCCCACAGCCCACAGATAACAAATGATTCAGATACCAGAAAATTCAGTGCCATCCCACACCTATCACCCCCTCCAGGGCTCAGGAACTTTTGCAGAAGAGGTTGGTAGGAAGAACGTAAAAGCGAGAGGAAGGGGTGGCGTGTTAACTGGAAGTGTCCCCCCAACTATGCCGGCAAGCTATAGTCACACCTCCTTCCCACGCCATCAAGGAGTGGATGGGGGCCTTCCCACCCAATGAGTTGACCTTAGTTGCATGTGGAAGAGGGGCTAAGGATATATAAGCTGAGAACGCCATGAGGCACCTCTCTCACCATTTTGTGTGGTTGTTGGGAAATCACAGGATCTATATCTATATTTGAGTGTGGGCTTTCCAGCACAGCCATAAATGGGGGGTGCCAACTCTTCTGTAAATAACACCTCCCCATGCTCTGTCAGCAAGCCCAATAAACTCATCATTATGATTCCTGCCCCCGCCCCCAAAAGAACAGAGCTAATGGAAACCATTATTCCAACAAAACAAAACAAAACAAAACAAAAACAACTACTGAATGAATTGGGGCTGGAGCAATGGCTCAGGGGTTAAGAGCACTTGGCTGCTCTTGTAGAAGACTGATGTTTAACTCCCAGCATCCACATGGTGGCTAACAACCATCTGTAACTCCAGTTTCAGGGGATATGATACCCTCTTCTGACCTTTGTGGGAATTGCATGACATGGGTACACTTACATACATGCAAGGAATACTCATACACATAAAAATAATAAAATATTAAAAAATACTGAATAATGGCATCATCTTTAATACTTGCATAAAAGAGCTAAGTAGCTAATAATCTTTACTCTCATATTAGGGGAGGGTCCATCTAATTACACAAAACCTATAAAAAGTTACATATCAAAAAGTTCTACCTTTAAGTGCAGTGTAGACTACAACATTTTTTAGACTACTTCTTACACTGCCACAAACTAGGCTGTGTGAGAGCAGACTCTGAAGTAGTCTACCAATCTGACATTGTTGAAATCACTGTAGCCAGCAGCTTTAAACCTCAACTCAGTTTTTTCACAGTGGACTTTATAACTCTTGACACCCTGAGGGGAGGTTTTATCATCTTTGTCTCCCCAAGTGTTTATTAGCGTTGGCACATAAAGAGTTCAGTAAATACATGCTAACCAAATGAACAAAAATATTCTATTTTGAAGGAAGAACAGGTTAAATATTTCATTGTTTAGAAGGAAAAGCTTGATTATACTGAAGCAAGGATGTCATAAGCATATAGCTGCAATTTTCAAATTGCCGAATATATTTGAAACACATATTAAAAATGAATTCTGCCTATGGTAGAAAGTATACCCATAAGGGGGCACTACTGAACTACATTTCTCCAATCACAAATAAAGAATAGTAACAACTAACAATTACAGTATTCACTATGTACCAAGCATTGCTCTAAGAGCTTTCAATACATAAATGAATTTACTTACCCCAACCAAAGTAGCAGGTACTATTTTATCCCTATTGCTCAAAGGAAAGTGGGAGATTTTGATGCAAGTCCTTGCTCAAGGTCACCTAGCTAGGGGAGCTAGGGCATGGCTTGCACAGCCTGGTTCCAACTCTGTTTTTCAGCTGCTTAAGTGCTGTCCTCACAGCAGCTACTTTTATCCTTACACAATTGGCAATTCTATCAGCTCAATAGGAAATATCTTTTACATGTGAAAGCCAATTGTCATAAACTTTTCCTCATTTCTGTAGTGAATTTTAACTTAAAGACATCACATCTAAATTATATTATCAGAGATACAATAAAATCACATTTATAAAAGAGCAGGCATGTATTCTTGGAACGGGAGAGGGTTTATTTCTTAAGATAGTCAGTACTAAAATATACTTAACAGAAGGCAAAATATACAGGAGTAGGCACACCAAACATAGGCAGAATTCCAAGTTTGAATTTATCATTTTTTAGTCAATTCAAAAGCATCAACATTTAAAATAAACAAATGAGTAATATCAGCAGGAGAGAGACATTATTACCTCCTAATGTGACGTTTCCATGTAGAAATCTTCCTTGATAAATAAGTCGTAGAATGTTTGGACTACTGACCTGCTCTTCTTCCCAGTCTGAAAGAAGCCAGAGAACCAGTTAGGTACTGCAGCAACACACCAGAGCTGCTGCTGTACTGTCCAGACTCCACAGTGAAGAGCCTCCTAACCACTTAGTCACTGTGGCCTTTGTTCCTTTTGACTTTGCTCAACAAGGGGGAAGAGATGCAAGGAAAGACTAGTTTTTGCCTCTCAAAGTATACTGAAGTGTGCCAAGTTGTAGGCCTGAAGTTTAAATAATTAAATGGGCTGGGAGGAAAAAAATCCTATCCTAGTAGATATGTATCATTTGAAAATTAATTTTAGTTGTCAGTAACAGAATAACAAATATTGCTAAATATTAAAATGTACACCCAATGACAAACTTCTAGCTTGTACATTTAATGACAGTAACAAATTTCTCAAAGATTTTTTAAAGGAGTAATAGATAATGTCGATATATTTTTATTTTATTTTTGAGGCCAACTAAAAAGCATTACAAGAGACAAGACACATCAAAGCTGGGAAAGTGCAGAGACTCCAAAGAGAAATTGGTAATAGTTCATAGCATGGGTTAACAGTATTTAACACAGCATACAGAGACTGATGTTCTGACACCTGACAGGTTGGCAATCTTCATTAGCTTGTAGTTCTAACAATTTAAGCTCTAATTGTGGGTTTGAGAATTCCTCTGTCACCTTTGTCAACAACTCTAGTCTGAAGTGCTTGCTTTTTTATAAAAGCATGAGATACTAGACAAGCTCTGAGAAGAGTAAGGATAGAAAAGAAAGGTTAATAAAGGATCTTCCTTCTATACAAAGCAATGTATGCACATTTGATAAAATCATCAGACACAAGAGAACCTGGTGGAGTATAAATGAATCTCAGCCATTTCCAGCCCACCTGCCCCATGCATGCCCTTCCTTTGCCCCTCTTTCCTCCTAGTGAGCCTTTGCTGTCTTCTGACTCCACTGTGCCTGTTCTGGATGGATGATAAGATAAGCCATTAACACTTCAGTATGAATTACTTTGAATTCACTGCTTTTTTAAAAAATATTTTATTATTTTTATGTGTACGTGTGTATTGCCTGCGTGTAGATAAGTACACCCATATCGTGCAATGTTTGCGGAGGACAGAAGAGGCTGTCGTATCCTCTGCAACTGGAGTTACAGACAGTTGGTAGCTGCCATGTGGGTGCTGGGATTCGAACCCGAGTCTTCTGCAAGAACAACCAGTGTTCTTAACTGCTGAGCCATCTCGCCAGCCCCGAATTCACTGCTTTTAAAACCATTGTTTCATAGAATATTTCTGGTCAAGAGGTAAGTGATCCTTTGATATAAAGGTTTAATACTGAAAAAAGGTTAGTAATTCTAAGAATATTTAAGTTAGTTTTTTGAGATGCAAAAAATGTAAAGCTACATATTCTTACTATCCTAACAGACTCTCATGATTTCTGTACCATTCATTTAATATAATAATTCTTATTTCCTTTCCCCTGTCCAGGATCTGAAATTTAGAGACACTTGTAGAGCAAATCTTAAGGAGGGCTCTGAGGCATCAGGAACATGTTATTAGCAGACCCAGGTATAGCTATGTGTTCACTCTACCTACCTGTCAGCAACATTCTCACAAAACTGCCACCAAAGTACTTCTTCTTTATGCTTTCTTTTTTTTATTCACTATTTTTATTTTATGTGTATGAATGTATTGCCTGCATGTATGTGAGTGCACCCGTGTTGTGCAATGCCGCAGAGGTCAGAAGAGGGCTTCGGATTCCCCCGGAACTGGAGTTAAGGATGGTTTGTAGCCGCCATGTGGGTGCTGGGAATCCTTCTGCAAGATCAGTCAGTGCTCTTAATGGCTGAGCCATCTCTCCAGCCTCTTTTTTCTTTTTTAAGACAGGGTCTCACTATGTAGCACTGGTTGGCCTGGAATTTAGAGATCTGCCTGCCTCTGCTTCCCAAGTGCTAGAATCCACCACACCAGGCAGTACTTTCTTCTAATGATCACATATTTACTTTTTTTTTCCTTACTAGAATCAATGAATATTTACATTTACTGATTTTTAGTACCTTATGTGATACAATTTAAGTCTAAATTTTTTATTTAAATATTTTGTTTAAGAGTTCCTTTTTATGTTCTGTAGTATCTAAATCTGATGAGTAAGTTTGACAAAAGTCTTTTTTCCTAAAAGTAAATAGCATATAGCTTATACAATCAATTTCCAGTGCTAGGTGGTGCCTTGCTTATGCATTTAATGGGGAAGACCTACATTAGGTATCTCTATTTAAATCAGTGGGATAATTTAAGGAAATTTTTTTTTTTTTTTTGCGACAGGGTCTCCCTGTAGCCCCAGCTGGCCTGGAAATCACTATGAAGACCAGGCTAGCCTTGAATTCACAGAGATCCGCCTGCCTCTGCCTCCCAAGTGCTGGGACTACAGGTGTGCACAAGGGATTTTTAAAAATTCAGTACTTAGTAAAACAATTACACAAATAATATTATTACATAAATAATTTTTGAATGGGATCATCCTTTCCTTGTGTGGCCCTTACTACAACATTCACACAGCCGAGGATACCTCTCCCAGGCCCACGCACAGAACTTACACATCACACTGTGCTCAGCAAGCTAATCTTCCTGCCGATGCCTTCCAGCATGTCTAAACAAATATCTAATAGTCTGAAAGCTACAGGCTTTTCTGAACCCCAGCCTCTTTTATTTATTTATTTTTACTTTATGTGTATGAATGCTTTGCCTGCATTTAAGTGCAGTACATGTGTGCAATGCCTGCAGAGGTCAGAAGAGGACGTGAGATTCCCTGGAATTTGAGTTACAGTTATTAGCTGTCATGTGGGTGCTGGAAACTGTACCCAGGTTCTCTGTAAGAGGGGCTCTTAACTGCTGAGTCATCACTTCAGCATCTTCTTGATTTAGTACTAGGCCCTTGGTAACAGAGAGGGAGAAAAAAATCCATAATTAAAGTATTTCCCTAATTAATGTTTCTTCGACCTAGGGCTATGAGCACAGAGACAAGTTCTTAGGATCTGAAAGTCCTTTAAGAATTTCTCAACTGTTCGTTTTAATGACAAATCTGCAAGAGATCTGTGGATGATCCAATTAACTACCTGATGATGACCAAGCATAGCCCTGGGATTCTAGTGCCCATTTATATACATGGCTTATGATTATATTGTTTTAATTGTCAACAAATGAATAAAAAAAAGAACAGGACCTAAATGAATTTTTTAAAAAAATGATGTATTCTTTCGAAGGGCAGACTGAATGACAAGCTGGCACAGCGCATAGACAAAGGTTGTGTGGTAAAGCTCGCCTGCCAAATTTGGGAATCATTGTGCCAGTGGGGAATCTGTTTCAGCAAAAACACTTTTATGAAGGTGAATATTATTATTTTTAGAAATTCATTTGCATTTTCTTTACAGATCCATTTTAGTTTTATGGCTTTTGTAAGTTCATAGAGATGAAGAATTTTAGTTGGGTTTTATTTTTCTATATTTTGTTTTTGTATGTGTGTGTGGAGGTGTGTGTGTGGAAGTCAGAGGGCAACCCTGGGAGTTGGTCCTCACATTCCACCTTGAGACAGGGTCTCTCTGTTGTTCACCACTGCATGTGCCAGGCTAATTGCCTGTGGGTTTCTGGGAACTCTCCTGTCTTTTCTTCCTATCTTGCTGGAGGAATGCTGGGATTATAGGTTTATGCTAAGGCATGAGTTCTGGGATTCAAACTCAGGTCTTCATACTTCTAAAACCAAGCTCTTTACTCACTGAGTCATCTCCCCAGCCCTGTTTCTATATTTTAAAGTGCACATTATAATAAAAATAATTTAAGTTGGTACTAAGGGATCTATAAGAATTTTCTGAGCCACGCATGGTGGCACATGCCTTTAGTCCCAGTACGTCGGAGGAAGGCAGGCGGATCTCTGTGAGTTCAGGCTGGCTGGGGCTACAGAGAGACCCTGTCTCAAAAAGACCAAAAGAAAAAACAAACCACAGAGACTTTTCTTCCTCTACCTCTACAATACCCCATATAAAGCAGAGAAACATAGACACATAGACTTCATGGATCATTTTGAATATATTGTGATCTTTACTGAAACAGGTCTCGTCCTTTAAAAGTCCAAATTGCTTTAGCTAATAAAACTATATAGATTTGGCATGGTTGTTTATCTACTGGGGAAGCTGAGGCATGAGAATTCCAAGTTTGAGGGCACCTTGAGCAATTTAGTAAGATCCTTTATCAAAATAAAAAATAGCTGGGGGGGGGGTCGCTAGAGAGATGGCTCTGTTTTGGACACTGTTTTTGCAGAAGACCCGGGTTCAAATCCCAGTACCCACATGGCAGCTAACAACTGTCCATAACTCCAGTTTCAGGGGATCCAACAGTCTCTTCTGTCCTCCTCAGGTATTGCATGACACAGGCGTACTTACCTACATGCAGGCAATACATGCATACACATAAAATAAAAAAATAATAATAAATAAAATAGCTGGGGATACAGCTTAGTGACAGGGTACTTGCCTAACCTGCACAAAACCTTGGGTTCAATCTTTTGTACTGAGAAAAAATTAAATGAGATCAGCTAAACAGTGTTACCCTATGGTGCATGCACAGAAAGGGTCATGGAGATACTTGGGGAAAGTTTAAAGGAAAAACATAAAGACTCACTTGAAGAGGCAAGGCAGAGTCTTAATAGACAGGGAAGAAGCAGAAAAAGGAGGAGATGAAAGTATACTCCCAGACCCTTCACTGTGGCACAGTTTGAAAACACAAAGCATAGACAGACTTCACGCTCCCTGGATCTTGTTCAGGGAACACAGGAAACATGAGTTCCAAGTTAACCCTGTTTCAAATAGGCCATGCACAGAGGAACCAAAGGAGAGCATCTTTGTTAAGACAGTTTCTTTTTCCTTTGTGTTTGGTACAAATAATTTATTGATATGAAATTGTATGTGCATTAAACATACTCCCACAAAGACAAAAACAGGGTCTCTGCACATCAGCCTCCTTCACTACTCTGGGATGGAGAAAGATGAAGGGGAAAATCCAGGGAAGGACACAGTGGTCCCCACTAAGTCTGGGACACATGTCCTCAGTTATTTGTTCTTTCTCATTTTATAACTTTTTCAAAAATGCTTGTGGAACAGGCAGGGCATAAAGAATCAGCACCCTGGAGAGCAAGCCCGCACTCACCCATGGGCCAGTTATCATACACATGCTTCGCAATGTCAGCAGCAGAATCATTAGGGGAGAACAGGAACTCCTTTGTTTTTCCACTCACCAAGATGAGGCGCAAATTAATCTGAAAGAAGACAATAATTCTCTTAATATAAATCTTAGCTTTTTAACACAAAAATGCTTTGCATAGGTTTTTCATTTAAAGCACATTCTAAACTACTGCCAGTATCATCTGATGTTCTTAATTCTTTAAATTATTAATTAAGTCATCAAACAAAGTAGCTTCACTATGGCATCTTCATGCATATATCCCATTATACTTAGTAATCCTCCTTCCCCTTTTACCTCATGGTCCTTTTCCTAGAAACTTGTGTTGATCCCCATCTTCCTTTTAAGTAGCCCCATTTCCTTTTGCTTTCATGTCACATTATTTTTTTATTATGTCATAATTTTTTTGAATTTTTGAATATTTCATATGATATATCTTGATCATATTAGACCTCCCCCATCTACATCTTTCCACAACCCCCCCACCAGATTTCATGCATTCTGTCATATATGTTAAAGCTTATTGAGCCACATTTGTATCCCCAAGTGGGAGTTCATCCCCTGGAGCCTAGTCAACCTATTTAGCATCACTCCCTTAAAGAAAATCAACTCTCCCTCTTCCAGTAGTCATTGGTTGCCAATAGTTCCTCAGCTACGGTAGAGGCTTCTTTCCCATTTCCCCACTTCTATGCTGGGTTTTTGTCTAGTTTGAGTTTGCATGGGCCTTGTGGATCTTGTTACCATTGCTGTAAGTTCATATGAGTAACTTCCTGGCCACCTGAAAAACTGTTCCCTTATGGTCATGCACCTCCCCTGGCTCTTACAATCTTTCTGCCCCCTCTCTTCATCAATGATACCAGAGCCTTGGGTGGCAGAGGTCTGATATAGGTGTCCTGCTCATGGACAAGCACTTTGTAGTCACATTATTTATTTACATTCTTTTAAGCTGTTTTTATAATGGGAATTGGCATATAACTTTACCACCTTTTAATTTTTAAAATTAAAATAAATTTTTTATTTTATGTGTATGAGTGTTATGCCTACATGTATGTAAGTGCCCCTGTGTCACGCAGTCCCTGTGGACGACAGACAAGGGTGACAGATCCCCCTGGAACTGGAGTTACAGACTATTGTTAGCTGCCATGTGGGTGCTGGGATTTGAACCTGGGTCTTTTGCAAGAGCAGTCACTGTTCTTAACCTAGTTAAGTCATCTCTCCAGCCCCAACTTCCTATTATTTAATATGAGTGTATTGTAGATATATTTGTGAGTGAAAGAAAACCAAAAGTCAGGAGGGGCTGGAGAGATAGCTTAGTCAATAAAATACTTGCTGCCAAAAACCTAAGGACCCAAGTTTGGATCCCTGGAGCTGATGGCCAGCCAGTCTAGCCTAATTGCTGAGTTCTAGGTTCACTGAGAGATTGTTTCAAAAAATAAGGTGCAGAAGCAATTGAAGAAGCCACCTGACAGTCATCTCTAGCCTCCATACACACACATATACATGCAGAAAATCAAAGTCATTATGCTTATGAATTTACAGTGTCTACAACTAAGCTGTAGATTATGACCACTACTACTACTGTAAATATACATTTCTTTATTCAATAACGAGTAAAAATGTTGACCCTGACGGTTTTGTCACCAAATAAGAAAAACAAGAAGAACTCCAGCAATCTTGTTTAGCATCTACTGGATTCCTGTATCCAAATCAATATATATTTGCTTACCACTCTGGTCACTGATTTATCTTTTTAATCACAGTCATGGCAACCCACTTCTGATACCTCACTATGTGGAACACACGAACAATGCAGAATGGACTAGACTCTATTAGATGGAAGAGACTTGTACTCTGAATAAGAACCTGCATTCTGTTTGTAACCTCAACAAAAAAGAAAAGGGGAAAATTTATATTATATTCTAGGTGATAGGTTCTTTCTATCCAATAAAATTTTCTTGTTGCCTTTTAAAAATGAGATTATATAAAAAGCTTGCTTTAGGAAGATAAATGATGAAATCACGTGACTATAAGAAGTGCAAAGTGAACATCATTAATCCCCAACTCTAAACCCTTTGAGTACATTTCAGCTTAGGGAAGCTCAATAAGTCAACTCTAAAATCTGAAATACTTGTGATCCTAACCATTTCAAATAAGGGATACTCTTAACCTGCAATATACAGAAACTCTGTGTCTCACTGAAACAAGGTTAGGCAATAATTTGCAGTAATTGTTGGATTGTTAAAAAAAAAAAAAACAAAAGCATCAATTTATTTCTCATAGCAAATAGGGCATGATTCTTCAAGCAAAAAAGCTAACATCTGTGCAATACAGTTTTTAGTTCTTAAGATATGCGACTATTCAGGACTGTTTCTTTACCAGTAATAAAAGCATATCATGCTCTTGGGGCTGGAAAGATGGCTCAGTGGCTAAGAACTCTGGCTGTTCTTGCAGAGGACCTGGGTTCGAATCCCAGCACCCACATGACAGCTAACAACTGTCTGTAACTCCAGTTCCCTGGGATTTGGCAGCCTCTTTTGTCCTCCATGGGCTTTGCACGACATGGGTGCACTTACCTACATACAAGCAATACATGCATACATATAAGATAAAAATAATAAATGAAATTTAAAACTATTTAAAAAAATCATGCTCTGAATTGATATGCATTATTTTATTTATTATTTTTTATTTTATGTGTATGAGTATATTGCCTGCATGTAGGTAAGTTCACCCATGTCGTGCAATGCCAATGTTCTTAACGGCTGAGTCATCTCTTCAGCCCTATATGCAATATATTAAAGGTTCCAAAGTACTGCATAAATAAGACCACCAGTCATCAATGTCCAAGAAATAATAACCCTTATAAGGATTCTGTTTCAGTGTTTGTTTAACCAGAAACAAAGTATAAGTCAAGTCTTTTGAGAATTATACAAATGATATGAACCTATTATCTTTTAAATTATATTTAAAGTTTAAAATTAATTTCATTTGTATTTTTATTAAAATTATAATATTAAAAAGTAACAAATGAACAAATGCATTCTTCAGAATCTTTACAGGTAACACTAAAGTATACTTTTAAAAGATAATTTTTCTTGTATTTATCTGTATGTGCATGCATGTGAGCATCTATCTGTCTGATGGAGCACTTGTGGTATCTGTGTAGAGGTCAGAGAACAGTTTGCAGGAGTCTCAGTTGCAAGCTCCTTTTATCTTCTGAGTAATCTTGCTGGCTCCTAAGAGCACTTTTAATTTTTGCTGATATTTATCAATTTAAAAATGGAAAAACAACTCATAGTGCATGGAAATCCATAGAGCTGTTAAATGATTCAAGATGTAGATGCATATGTTTTGATAATGAAAGATGTATATAATATACTAAGTGAAAGAAAGGTGGTCATAAAACAGTACTGTGGAAACAAAACAACACACATCTACTTCTTAGGTGTTGTTTCATGCTCCCCTACCCCCAGTCCCTAGGGTGACAAAACCACTGAGTCTAGGAGCAAGGGTGTAGCTCAGTGATAGAGCACATGCTTAGCATGAATGAGGCCCTGGGGTCAATTCCCACAACCTCTCCATCCCCAGCCTCCCTCCCCCAAAGATTGTCTCAAAGAGAAACAGAAAAACAAAAGCTATCAATTGAAACAAATGCACACTTTGGAGGATGTTTATCATGTGAGAGGCTACACATGTGTGAGGGTAGAGGGCATACAAGAAATCTCAATACCTTTCTCTTAGTTTTGCTGTGAACCGCAAACTCTTCTTTAAAGTTTTGTGGGTCTTTTTTTTTTTTCTTTTTTAATATTTTTTAGCCAGGCATGTTGGCACATGTCTTTAATCCCAGCATTTGGAAGGCAGAGACAGGCGGATTGCTGTGAGATTGAGGACAGTCTGGTCTACATAGCGAGTTTCAGGCCAGCTGAGGGTATAGAATGACCACATCTCAAAAAGGCCAAAAACAAAATTTTATATTTATTTGATGTGTATGAGTGTTTTGCTTGTATGTATGTGTAAGTGCACCAGTGCATGTAGCATCTACAGAGGCCAGAAAAGGGTGTCAGAACCCACAGACTGGAGTTACAGACCACTGTTAGCCACTATGTGGTGCTGGGAAGCAAACCCAGGTCTGCTGAAGAGAAGCTAGTGCTCTTAACCACTAAGCCAGCTCCCCAGCCCCATAAATGTAACTTTTTTTTCTTTTGGAGACAGGGTCCCCCTATAGCCCCAGCTGCCCTGGAACTCACTATGTACACCAGGCTGGCCTTGAGCTCACAGAGAGCCACCTGTCTCTGCCTCCTGAGTACTGGGATTAAAGGGGTGTGCCACCATGCCAGGCCATAAATGTAACATTTAAAAATGAAGTTACAAGATATTCACGGTATTCTCTTAAGATAATTCACTGAGCCTAAGTTAAGACCTCTGTTCTCCAAGTTTGGCTAAAGGAATCATCTATAGGTTTCTCTTATTTCCTCTTATGAGCTTAAAGACAAAATAATAACACACATATACATCTCCCACTCTATATTATGGGTTCATACTAAGTTCTCAACAATTCATAGTTTAAAATGGGCACACATCATTAACCAATAAACTGACAATATACTTCTATATTTCAAAAAAAATCAATGGTCTATTATCTCTTCAGAATACTAGAAACTTTTGGTCTTTAAATGTGTTTGATACTGTTTTAAAATAATTACTTTTTTTTCTTCAATGTTTATATGTGGACATGAATCTTCAGTTTGACACAGCCCTTTTAACTCCTCCTTACTCACCCTGGCCTTCTTCATACACTTCGTAACCTACCTAGCTCCAGAAAATATCTAAATTGTTAAGTCGTGGTAGAGTCTGAAGGTAGCTCTGGGCTATAAAAAAAATTTCAAGCAAAGTATGATTTAAGATCTTCTACTCAGAGGAAACCAGACCAGCCTCTGGATGGGGAATGGAGAGAATACCACAACTGCAAGCCTGTGAATTTATCAAGTCTTACAGTTAAAATTAGCTAAATCTGACAGAGGCTGTTTCAAGAAAGAAAAATCAAAACAGTTAATGTAAGGATCACGTTATTGAGTA